CCCCCCCCCCCCCCCGTTTATTATCACATTTGCTGCACATGGTACTTATGCCAATGAAGGGATCACCTGGGCAGTGGGTAAAGTAAGAAGAAAGCAGGGGGAAAATACAACCTCCCTTTTTTTACTAAAAACAGATGGGTTTTTTTCCCCTCTTCTCCTTGATTTAGCTTAAGCAGTGCTTCCTCTGTCTCCTTGGCTGGAGTCTCCCTAGTTCAGTTTGCTGTAACCATTTGTCCAGGGCAGGGAAGTCATACGACAGATCACAGTTCTCAGGTCCCTGGAGCGGCCTTTACCTTTGGCTATGCATGTGTGTCAATTATGTATGCAAATCTGTATGCATGATACCCACATTTCTAATTGATTTTAGGTTGTTGCATCTTTTTTTTCTTCATTTTCATGTAGATCCCTACCAGATTCTTGGACCAACCAGTAGCCGTCTTGCAAATCCAGGTGAGGATTCTTGATACCTTAAGATGACTTTTCTAATCTCACCACTGAAGAAACCTCACTACAAATTAAATGCCAGATTCAGCAGGGGAGGTGACCCTTCTTAGCTCCCATCAAAATCAACCAGCAAAGCTGTAGAAGCTGATGGAACCCAACAGATTACAGAATTGATCTTTTAATCACATGAATAGTTTTACTAAAGTCAAAGAGAGCCAGTGCAAGGGCTTATTTAAGCCTTATTTAGAAGGTTGGTGTTATGGTGTCCCATTGATAAGACTGAAGTTCACCCAGTGAGATTCTCCCACTCAGAAAAAAGAGAAAGCTTCAGTTACAAGTAAGATCAGATTTTGATTAAATATGACGTGCCATTTCTAACATGTTATTGAGTACATTCTGAACTGTAGCTTATAATATTTAGAAAGGGATGCAAAACATCACTGTGGTGAGTAATTATTTTGATAGACTATTAAAATATTTTGATACACTGATCTCACTGTGGTTAACCTGATGCCATAGTAATCAGTCCAGTTAACTGTGTCCAATACAACCAGAGCCAGCCTAGTATAAATGAGATCAGTCTGGGCCAGAAGACTGATATTGCATATGTCATCGACTATTACCCCTTCTCTAACATCCAAACACTAGAAAGCTTCTTTCTTTCTGCTCCTTTCCCCCACTGTATTATTTCTGTCTATAAAATGTCTTACTTTTCATGGTTCTTAGGGCAATGTTGTTATGAGTTGTTTAGGTTGGGAGCATTTCAATTGGTACTGAATACCAGCTTGTAATTAGTAATACCAATTCGTAATGTCAATTGCTATTTTCCCCTTTATTTAGCTTTTTTAGATAGTTATTGTATAGTTTAGTGTAATTTTTAAGACAACATTTTTTACATCTTTTAAGAAAGAAGTTAAATAAGAACTAGTGTCAGAACGTTGTTTACAAATCACATTGGAAACTGGGTACCTAGCTCCTTCAAACCATTTGCAAATCCCAGCCTAGCACATTTGTATCAACTGTCTTTTTGCTAGACTTGTGCCTACAGCATTCTGGAAAGTGCTAATGTGACCTGCTCTGAATGGGGATACATTTCAACATTTGGGGAAAGTCAGGGGTATGGAATTTCTACAAACCATCATTCCTGCACTTTAACAAGTTTGTGTATTTATAAAATGATGGAATTACTCTCTCATTAAAAGGAAATTGACAGCAATGATTTATTTTCATAGGACTATATATTACATTTGGAAGGCAAGTGTTTATATTAGAACATATGTTGGATTGCTTGTTCAAAAAAATTGTGTTTTGTCCAGTGCTGAACTGTTTATTGATTTCCAAAGTCTAATCCTCTTGTTATGTTTTATGTATTAAAATTGCATGCCCTGCTCATACCATAGATTCTTTTGTTTGTTTGTTTATATAATGCATGTTAATGGAACAGAAGAAATTCATTAAGAACAGTTTGGATAAATATCATTTAAAGGAATATAGGTTTCAGTTGCACTGAAGTATAAACTGCTAATAGATTTCAGATGTGACTTAAGATTGATATTATAATGTACCCTTATAAACTTTCCAAAGAAAAGCTTATTTATTATACCTACATATCAGCTTTAAAAATGTAATTTCTCATCAGAGATGTACAGAAATGTATGGCTGACAAATTCTGCTGACATTATGCTTCATGAAACAGAGCACATTACAAGCAGTTGCACACTGCAGAGCACAGTTGCATGCAGTAATTTTCATAATTTCAGTGCTGCTTTATCAAAAATTGTTCCTCTTCTTACATGAATATAATTGGCAAGACCTATCTAACACAAGTGACAGCTGCTTAGAAACCTCATATTTTATTTTATCACATTGACGAATGCAACATTTCCAATAGGATCAACTCTTTCTCTTTAAGATTTAATTGGGGGTGGGGGGAGAGAGAAGCAGGGCTGCAGGTCAGGATGAGACACTGCTTTGAGTCTTAGCCTCAGCAATTATTTGCACTCTTGTTTGACTTAGGACAATTACAGTAATTCATTTTATGAACTTTTCATTGTTCCCCCAAATGCTATGCAATATAGTCAGGGGCAATGCAGCAGTATGCTAATGAGTTTTCGCTCTGCATTTCCCTAAATACTGGAAATGGGTGATATGGTTTGGATTAGATCCAGCTTTCTCTAAACTTCTACATTTTGTGTAGCTTTATTCCATGGTAGAGAATATTTAATTGCAAAATATGTTATGAGAATAAGACCAATATCATGTAATGGAAGTAAAGGCTGTTTCTCCTGAGCTTTGGGGATTAGTTTCCTAAATATGCATTGTATTATTTTGCCATCAGTTGTCCAAACTGACTGACATTAGGTCATTACTGAATCTACATATAATGACATTCTCCTTCCCAAATTTGGAAAAACAGTATATTCTGTCATGGTCTCTGATATGCAAGGGTTTTTCTTTTTCTTTTCCATTTTTTTTCTTTTTAGAAAAAGAAAAGAGGTGCCACTTTGAGACTGAGAGGTAGAAAGGCTGAAACATTGGCTAATTGGCTATGCATTTGGATTTTGTAGGTCTGCATGACAATCTGGAAGAGTTGCCATTGTTATGTTATTAGACACTGATTCCACCTTTCTATTTTCTGTTCCGCTCACAGGGAGTGGACAAATCCAGCTGTGGCAGTTTCTACTGGAGCTCCTGTCAGATAGCTCTAATTCCAACTGCATCACTTGGGAGGGCACCAACGGTGAGTTCAAGATGACTGACCCTGATGAAGTAGCCCGGCGCTGGGGAGAGAGGAAAAGCAAACCTAACATGAACTATGACAAGCTCAGTCGTGCACTCCGTTACTACTATGACAAAAATATTATGACTAAAGTCCATGGTAAGCGTTATGCCTACAAGTTTGACTTCCATGGAATTGCTCAGGCTCTCCAGCCACATCCCCCAGAATCATCTATGTACAAGTATCCATCAGACCTACCCTACATGAGCTCCTATCACGCACATCCCCAGAAGATGAACTTTGTAGCTCCCCATCCTCCAGCTTTACCTGTAACTTCCTCCAGCTTTTTTCCTGCTCCCAATCCATACTGGAATTCACCAACTGGAAGTATCTACCCTAATACTAGGCTTCCAGCTACGCATATGCCTTCTCACCTTGGCACCTATTACTAAATGGAAAAAAGAGAAAGAGACATGCACTTCTCCCATTATGGAATATAGTCCCCAAAGAATTATAAAGAACTCTACTGGAGAACATGAATTAAAAGTGCCTAAAGAGACATGCAAAGTTTGACTGGGAAAAAAAGATGTCAAAAAGACTTTGTGTCGTAGGGATTGAAAGAAAGTTTTCAAGTATAAAGATGCTAAAATGTAATGTTATATGGGCATCAGGTATATGGACCAAAAACTGCAAGACTGTTGTAGGTAAAAACATGAAATGATATGGAGAACCTACAGGAGAAAGTGGTCTTAAAATGTTGATAAGCTTTTGTATAAAGTTTGATATCTTGTAAACTGGGACTATAGTACAGCAATATAAGGATAACTCTATAGTGACCTAACATACAGTATATGAATTCATTTAAAAATAACAAAAAAACCTACCTGTATTTAAAAGATAGAAACATATCAAAAAAAGACTGGTCTAGTATGGAGGCTGATTTGGAATATGATGGCATTCTTTCAATTAAAATCAAAATGCATTCCATTTATTGGGGAAGTATCAGCTATTTCAAACTGTGAAGACAAACCAAGCTTTAAGATACCTTGACAGTATTACAGGAACCCTGAGCCAAACATAGGAATTAAGAATGTGCTGAAGGGCAAGTGTATGGTTGTAGACCAAGGGCCTGCATATGATATAGGAAGTAGAAGGAAAGAGAAAGAAGAGGAAGTTGATGGGAATGGGAGAAAAAATGCTTTTTTCCTGGTAGATACTCAAGAGATTGAAAACATGGTGGTGCTTGGTGGACTAAGAAGAATTACTTGTTTGGACAAGAAACATTCTGATCAATATCATACCATTCCCAGTATTACAGAAGGAAAAGACTTGATTTAAAAAATAGTAAAAAAGGAAGAAGCAGTAGAATTCAGAAATCAGAATACGCATCTCTTTTTTAAAAGTTCAGAACTGGAATTGTTTGATATTTAAAGGTAACCTGTAGGACCTCATCAGTATTAAGGGAGTTTGTTTTCTAATGTTGTAAGAGACAAACCCAGACTGCCAAAATCAGAAATCACTTGAGTATTTTTGTTAGGCGGGCGCCAGTTTTTCTTTTTTGAGTCGCGAACGCTGTGCGTTTGTCAGAATGAAGTATACAAGTCAATGTTATTTTTTTCCTTTTTATATAATAATTATATAACTTATGCATTTATACACTACGAGTTGATCTCGGCCAACCAAAGACACAAGAAGGGACAATCAAAAATATTGTGGCCTTGAATTTTAACTCTGTATGCTTAATGTTTACATTATGAACATATTAGTACTTAGAATGCAGAATGTATGTAATAAAATAAGCTTGGCCTAGCATGGCAATCCAGATCCACACTGTAGTCTGCATTTGCATTTTTAGTGACTAAGATGTCTGTTAGATCATCTTCCTGCGTGTTAAGATACTTTACAATGTTTGGGTTTTAAGTATGTTTTTTTTATTGTGAATTTTGGAAAACACAAAAATAAGGGACAGGTAGCACTGGGTAGAGTTGGGCTTAATATGGACAAGTCCTGTTAATCTTGTCCCACACACTTACATTCTGCCCTGCTACTTCTGTCCTGAGCATTAAATTCTTTGATTAAGTATGAAAATGAAACACAGAATTGGGGGGGAATAGTGATCCAAATTTTCCTTTCCAATGTATCAGATAATATGACAAATCATAGCCCAAATCATACTACTATGCTAAAAAGTTTGTTGAAACCCCATTCTCTTTTGCTATTAACATATACTGTACCATTTTTGATAAATAAAATGAATACTGAATAACTTCCATTATTCCTCCCTTCAAAACTGAGTGAATGATAGTTTCTTCACTTGTCATGAAAATCCCTCTCTAATGCTTATCCTGAGCAGAACATTCTCTTTGTGTTCCAAATACAGATTGTTCCTGCACTGTATGCTAGCCCCAGGCCCACTTATTTAATGGCATTAACTTCATTTTTTTTCATCAGCTGAGTAGCTGGCCTAGAGATTTAAATTTGACATTTATGAGTAGCTGTTCACAGCAGGCACTGTTTACTGTGGAAAATCCAATCAATCCAGACTTCAGATTATGTCCCCTTTTTGGTTCCTCATCTGCCCTTCTTACTTATAATGGGCAAGGTGGATTTTAATGCAAGCATTGAATAGCCATGATGTATTTTGTTCACCCTTGCAAAGCAACAAATACTTAGCTAACAGACTTGAATGTTATGGGTGTTTTGCAATAGTTTATAAATGTAGGATTGGGTATAAATCAGATTGCAAGTAATGGCATCATCAGTCATACAATAGTCACTTGGAATAGAACCATTGTGAAGAAAATGGCTTGAAAAATAAAAGATAATTGAAAGGTTACAAAAACTAGGCAATTGGGAAAGGTTAGTCATTTGCTGTTTTAGAAAGTCAAGCCAGTTACACCTATATTCTGAATATGAGAATAATAGTTTACTTTTCTATGGGAACACATTTCTACAAATGTCTGTTAATTGCATCATGTTCACACTACAGAAAATAAAATACAAGGTAAGTTTATTATTGAACCACCTTTAATTAAACATCTTAAAAATCCAAATGAAACAGAAGTCTTTATTTAGATTGGCTTGGGTGTATCCAATGGCCATGCCAAAGTACTTCAGACAATCACTGTGCTGCCCACAGAGTTCCTAACTCTCTTTCGGCTTCTGTCACTTACAAGAGGAACAACATGTTCCAACATCAAATACTTTCATCTTGATTCCTACAGAAGTTAGTCATGTTGGACCTGAAACTGATGTCGGCACTACCCCCTTTCTGTCACCATTTTTCCCCCATGAATTTTATCCCAGTCCCTTTAGTCTTCTTTTGTAATTAAGCTGGTTGTAGAGCTCTGCTTCATTCTCCTGTTGCTGAGAATTGCC